TGACATATGCCAGATTTAAGAGGATAAGCAACAACAAATATAATTTTTTTTTATGAAATTGTTTTCACCACGAGAAACAAATATGATTGGAAAGGACAGTGTGCGTAGACAAGGTGATATGAGTGAATGAAGAAGTGACATAACTTGAGTAAAGAGGAAAATAGCATAAATCGTACTCCAAAATCCTTCTATCTCTGATTTCTTAAGGAGTATAGAGTAGAGAACAATATAGCGCAACGGTACCCAAATAGTATTCTATCTAAGGAATCCTGGGGTTTCCGGAAATCAGTACTTTTTATAAACCAGATATGAGTTTTGAAACCTCAGATTATATTTAAATCCAACCTATAATCGAAGTAAACCCTAACTTGACTTATTTCATTCATTTTCAGCTTATCTATGTAGGCCAGAAACGAATCATAACTAGACTAAATGTAGCACATGGATTGCTAATTTAACTGTCAGACATAGAGCTTAATTTAAGTTAAATGATGAAACGATTAAGAATCTTCATTCCTCTAATCAAGTATTTTAAATATAGTCTTATATAGGTTATAACGTTCGCAATTACCTTAAATTTTATTTATTAAGTTGGGATCTTAATTTTATTCGTAAAGTTTTTTCGCTCAGTAAGGTGAGCCGGGGGCGATGAATATTCCAAAGAAAATAAGAAAAATAATAACAATAAAAAGCTATCGAAAGTTAAGTATAATGTACGAACACCGCGGGAAATTCGTCTCAAACAATCGGGGGTGTTTTTAGTTTTACAAAAAAGAAGAAAAAACAATCAAAATTATACTCAATCTAACGCCCAGGTCTCTCTGACAGAGATTGATATGAGAATTTCTTTTACTGCTTCGTACAGCCATACTTTTCCCGCGATTTTTCTGCGTTTGATTTTCAGCCATGCTGGTTGAGTGTCTTCAGCTTTTTTTTTTTTCAATTAGGAAAAAAAAAGTAAATAAAAAAAAATCAGCTTTTTCGAAGAAAGTTAATCGTTTTCAAATACCCAAGAAAGAAAAATGATTCATTTTCATGCTTTATTCTACCTACCCAAACACGTTTTAAAATTACATTGATTTGACTTAAAATCCCACATCGTGTTTCGTATTTTTATGATATTACATCATATATCGCGTTAAAAAAAACCGATATTATTTGTGTTCAAATAACTTAAAAATTATGCAATGGAATTCGCATTCACGCGATTTTAAAGCCAAATATTTAATTTGCATTCACGCGATTTTAAAATCGCACATCGAGATTCCTATTCATGCGATTTCAAGATCAAATATCGAGATGCTTATTCGTGCGATTTTAAAATTGAATATCGAGATTCGTATTCGCGTGATTTAAAAACCACACATTTATATTCATGTTCACAAATTTTAAATAAATAAATAAAATCTCGCATTGATGCTTTTAGATAAACGTTGATAAAATTCTGTGGACAAATGCTTCCTACATACATTCCTGCTTAATTTTCCGGCATTTTTCTAATTATTTAAAAAGTGCTTTTACATATAGCAATTTTGGATTTCTATTTCTAGCTTCTTTTTTTTTCAAACTCACCCGTGTGATAGGAATCATTATATTCATAAAAATTAAATCATTTTTAAAAAAATAGGTAATTTTCAAACAAATTTCGCCAAATAGTTGGCGACAAAATGGTTAATTAATGGCTTTCAGAAAGTTTTTTAGTTGAGATTTTGTGTTCGCAGAAAGCTTTTCATTTTATGTCAATTTGGCAAGCGAATATTGAAATTGAAAACTTATACAAAACCGATCGTTCATGGCTGAAACAAAGAATCACGAGTTAAAAAAATAATTGAGTAAATAAAAAAAAATTTAAGTTTACGAATTTTCTCTACATACTTTGGGTTGATCAGAGATCTGTCTTCCAGATCCTCTCAGAACTAAGAAATAGGTTGAACATATGCTTGAAAGCTGACATTTGACGAACATTCTTGTATTCGGTTAATGTTGCATTCGTTAAAAACTGCTACAGCTTCATTGCAGATAAGACATACTGGTTTATCTTTTGCAACTGTAAAACAATATTTAATTTTTGCAACTCTCAAAATCTATCTATAAAAAGTCCATTCATCATTGAACGCACAACACTCTGAATCAATTTTGCGTTTTTTAGTAGCCATTTTGGGGTTAAAATGTTTTACAAATAACTCAAACAAGCATTAGCTATTTTATACATTTAATTATTTACAAAAACGTTACATGTGTGCAATCTTTCCATGCGCAATAAATAGTGTTAGAACTCACGTCAGCAGAAAAGTCCACTCAGTGGAGCTTAAAATACGCAGTCTGCCATATATTAGATTCCACATGTCTGCTCCTCGAGAAAGACAAACGCTCGTTGGTGCCAAGATACGGCTATTCTATAAAGAATTGCTACTTTCAATATTTTATCAATTGAAGCTGTCTGCGCTAGCTATTTCCATCAATGTTTTGTAGAACAAAAATAGAGAAAGTAAAAAGGTCATCAGTACTTTGTTAAAAAAGAAAGAACAAAACTTTAAACAAAGTAGACAAGAAAATGGATGTATAATGTATATTGTTTATATTCATATTCGCCACGGATCGGCAAGTTAAAATTCTATCCGCGGGCCACAGTTAGCTCGCGGGCCGTAGTTTGCCTATCCCTGGGTTATCCAATAGAGGCGAGCCTACGCTAACGTAAAAGTTTCAGTTCTGATTTTAACTTACCACATTTCCTCCCACATTGACTAGAACACCTGTAATTATACTCAAAATCAATCATTTAATGAAAGCTTACCTGCAATTCGAGCACTAGCATTGAATACAGGTCTTATTTTAGTACTTGAATTTTCTTGGACCATCTGACCTATGAGGCAAAAAATGAACACTTTCTAATTTATTCTCCGTCACGATTTCAATAATTTCCAGACAACCAACTATCAAAAACCTCACAATAAGCATTAAAATTTCCAGACTACATTAATTTCTTTTTGGAATTTTTCGCATTAAGTGCAATATTTTTATTGCTGGTTAAAAGCGAACTATTCGTAACCGAAGGGTAACTCGATTTGATATCTTCCCATAGAATTGACTTATAATTGTCTCCTCAAAATATTTAAGAGTTTCTTTTCTCGAATTTATTCTGACTCATAGTAGGATCGGAAATACCCTATAAATCAAGGCGCCTTTAAGTCTGCGATTTCTCTTTCGTTGACAAGAAGAGAACAAATAATAAGAGAAGCTTCATTCTTAATTTTATGCGTATCGCATAAATAATTTCCTAAAAAGCAATTTATGAGCTTCGTTTCTATACCCAACAGACCTGAACTTAAATGTATAATTTTCTTGTTAATATTATACTCGCTATATCTGCTCCGATTAATAATTTTATTTCTTTGTCAACACGGTATTTTATTTTTTCCGTTCTAAATCGCTTAAACTAATTTTAAAATTATTTTACTCTATGGAATTTGTTTAATATTAGAACAAATCGTATTTTGATTTAACACTTGAAATTTATTTTTACATTTATAAATGAAAAATTAAAATATTAAGTAAAAATATATATCTATTTTTTTTTTTTTTTTACTTTTTCGCAAAGTTTTAATTGGTGATGTGTTTAAATCCTTATTATTAAAATTGTTTCCCCATCTGTCGCATACTCATAGTTTTACTGTGCTGCCAAAAGGTAGGTTTTATTAATGTTATTTATCTGCTGTAATCTGATAACGTAACTTAGACCGTATTCCATTACAAAAAACCAAAAGTACCTCTACACATTGAGATCTTTGAAGTTTAAAGACGTGGCAAATTGTTCCATAGTTAAATAAGAGCGTTACTCAAAAATATCAGTTTTTTCAAAAATGTTTCTTAAAACTTTTATCCACTAGGTCTTTAACTCAGTTTTTGTTATAGTATGATGAAATTAGTGATTTTCAGAATATTTTTTTAGTTAAATAAAGCTGAAATAAGGTATTATTTCATTAGAAATCTCAAAAATTTCAAAAACGTTACTTAAAACTTTTATCTATTAAGGGATCCATTAACTTTTATCCATTGTAAAAAAATGGAAATCAATGTTTTCTGCTGCATGCCACAATGTTTCAATTGAATATTTGCACTGACGTCTGTTAACTTTGCTCTCAGATTACGGCACGTTGTTGGTGAAAATGTTAATTATTTTTAAAAAAATTGCTTTACAGTTTTCCCAATTAGGAGCGCCTTCTAGTGATGAACTTTGTAACTAATTTTGAATTTATATGAGTTAAAATAATCTTGTTTTCTGAGCAGAAAGCAGCAAACTGTACATCTCTTTCTTCCTCCTTTTTTTATATGAAGTTTCAATTCGCTGGTTATTTTTCATGCACTTTGTCAACTTACTCTCTCATTTAAAAAAAAGAAAATACGTAAAAATATTAAAATATTAGGAGACGCGGTCTGCATAAATTATTACCGACTTATCTATTCTCCTGACTTATCTATCCTCATGATAAGACTTGATACAAAACATGTGCGGAAGTTCTCAATTGAGTGCTTATCTAACAAGTGTTATATAAATGTGTAAATAAAAAAAATTATAGACTAAACATAAATTGATAAGTTTCCTTAATATTTTATTGTGATTATAATTTTGTTTGCTTATCATCATTTTGTATTCTTTTTTTGATTAAAATTTGCATACAAATGTGATAACATGATTGAAAAAAAATCTGTAGTCGGTGTTTCCGTTTGAAAGTATTGTTTAAAGTTTCATTCTCATTATGAATATTGTATAGCAATTTCTGAAAATTTCAAATCATTTAACCAAGTTAACAGTCGATTTTGCAATCAATTTTTGTTAATATGGAAATAAAATGTGTGGGTATTTTTGAATTCTTTGTATAATTTGTAAGTTGAAGCTTAGAATGTGCACTATATTTTTTAATGATTAATTACGTATTTGCTAATTTTATGCCTCCGTTGAACTAATTTTATTTATTAATTTTATTTTTGTTTATTTTTAGAATATGCTGATTGCCATTAAATACTAATCGTCAGGATATGTTGTTGCTGCGTGAAAATGGTATGTAAACATCTTTATGTTTATTATTTATTTATTTAATTTTTTTTTGTAATTTTTTATATCTTTGTAAAACAATACAAGTTGTTTCGCGATAATCGTTCTTGATACATGTTTTTTTAGAATCCGTGTAAAAAATTAAATAAAAAATGTATAATGTATATTAGGGCAGTGATTCCTATTCTTTTACGGGTATGGAAGCCTAAATGATCGAACATCTTTTGGAGGAATCCTTAGTTTATAAATATAATTAGTAGCTGTGAATTTACTAACAGAAAGAAAAACTATGTATTTTGATAAAATTTGATGTAAAGATTGAAATTTTTCATTCATCATTTTATCAATAATAGAATTAAAATTATAGGTTTTATCTCAAGTGAATGAATTCGTCGGAGCATAGTCATCTAGACTAATTCTGAATTTTTTTTTGGTGCATGCATAAACTGACTACGAATAAAATACGCTAATTAATATTTTTCGAAAAAGAACTGTTATTAATGTTGAAAATGATTATCAGAGAAACATAATTCTTTAATTTTGAATTTGGTTATTATATTTTTGATTGAAAAATTCGATGAGAAATACTAAAGCAAATTTTTTTTTTATAAATGCTTTCTATTTCTTAATTTGTTGAACATAAAATTATCTGAAGAATTTTTTTTTTTTTAAAGCTTGCTTTTTCTTTCTTTTATTTTAATTCATGTTTTACTTGAATAATTTCATAAAAATAACCAAACTATTAATGAATAATGGCTTATTGTCAAGATAAAAGCTTAATGACAAGTTTCAGAAGTCATTGCTGGTTTAAAAAAAATTATATATACCCATGGAATCCCTGAGAGCCTTTCACGTGTTTCGCGGAATACCATTTAGGAACTATTGTATTAGTGGACGCAAACTACTATTTAAGTGAGGGTAAAGTGCTTCTGAATTCCAACCAATTCTGGAACAGACCGAAATCAAAACCAATAATCAAAAACCAATTTACTTTTTTAGTGTGACTAGAATGCATCTTCCTTTCCCTGAAAAACACCTTTTAAGCATCATTCTCAGCTACATGGGATTTGAGATAATTATAATCTATCCCTAGCTCCTATTGACCTCAATAAGGATTGGTGAGAGTTTGAAAACCATTTTTTTTTTTTTTACTTTCGAGCTCTTAAAATGCTTGTTTTTTGATTTCTTATCTTACAAGAATTTGAAAAATGCATAGTTAGAGTGGTTATTACGGAACACCCTGTGTATGAAACATTGGGATATGAAACATCGATAGAAAAGGTATTGAATATCCCCCAGTCCCTTTTTATATTAGAGCTCTTATTTTGTATAGAGCAGGGAGGTGTTTTAGATATTTTTTTGTTTAATTAATAAAACTAGATTTTGATTTAGTTTCCGAACTATTTACTCCATTCGGCAATATCTCTTAAAAGACATAAAATACAAACAGGGTAGGTCTAGAGCTAGGTACCCGGAACCGGTTGTTGGTTGGGTTCGCTGTCTCCCGCCATTTTCTTCCTTTGTTCTATCTCAAAATGTGTTGACAGATGTATTCAACCTGAGCCATATAAAAGAGTTCTAAAAGAAATATCTTAATAATTAGTTCAATAATGCAGCAACCGACCTGCCATAAGTAAAAAGAGAAAACATTCCTCTGTTCAACCCTAGCAGTAGTTATGGGAGAGGTGGTAAATCCGTGTGAATTTTGAACCCAATCCAGAAGACAAGGGAACTCTTGAATAGAGTATTGGGAGAAATTTACCTTCGTGGAGGACTTTTTGATGGAGCTAACCCGCATTTGCGTTACATGGAGAGGAAGACGACGGGAGCCTCCTACGGTTAGCCTTAGGGCAAGGGGACTTTAACCCATGATCCGTCTACCACTGAGGATTGGCATTATACAGGGTGTTTATAAAGTCCCGGGCTCATTTTGATGTTTAATAACTCATAAAATAATAAAGATAGATTAAAATTAATAACATAAATGGTTAGATAGACTCAAAAAGTTTCATGACCCTTGTCAATGAACTTCCACGTGTGCCCCCTTCGTCGCACGGAGAATGTCAAGTCGATAGTCAATTTCACGCCAGGTAGCGGCAAGCATGTCGGCATCCACAGAGGCTATTGCGGTTGTAATTCTGGATTTTAGGTCATCAGTGTTTGACACGATCCTCCTGTAAACATTGTCCTTTATAAATCCCCAAAGAAAAAAAGTCCAGCGGCGTCATATCAGGTGATCTGCGTGGCCAAGGAATTGGACCTCCTCGTCCAATCCATCTTCCTGGAAAATGGTCATTCAAAGAACTACGAACGATGATACCCCAATGAGGTGGTGCACCATCTTGTTGCAAAAAGACATGTGACTGAAGCTCTTCTAGTTCTGGAAATACGAAGTTTTCCAACGTGTCTAAGTATACGACTGATGAGACCGTCTTTTCTGTAAAAAAGAAAGGCCCAATGACTCTGTCGTGCATTAGTCCACATCACACATTAACCTTTGGGGAATCCCTTTGTGTCTCACGGTATTCATGGGGGTTTTCAGATCCCCATATGCGCACATTATGGCGATTAACAATGCCAGAAACATGAAAGGATGCTGCTTCGTCGGAGAACATTATGTGCTTCCGAAAATCAGCAGCATCTTCTCTCCTTCATACTATATCTGTTGCGAACGCCATCCTCCTAGGCCTATCGTCCGGTTCCAAACCTTGAAAATTTGAACTTTGTATGCATGCAGTCTTAATTGTTTCTTAATTACCTTGTACACCGTTGAAATTGGCATATCTAATTCTCTTGCCGCTGAAGTCACAGATCTTCCAGGATTGTCTAAAAATGTCTGTCTGACACGCTCAACGTCAAAATTACTTGTGTAGGGACGTCCGGAACGTTTTCTATCTGCGATACTTCCAGTTTCTAGAAAATTCTTTTTCCATCGCAAGATGCTGCTTTTGGATGGAGGATCTTTTTGGTAAATTCTTCTGCAATTTCTCTGTGCTTGCACTATTGATTTCGTTTCTATGAACCACCATAAAATCTGTGCTTTCTCTTGTGGTGTATACATTCTCCTTAATATCCTCTCGAATAAAACATCACATAGAAAAGTACTGCATAGAACAAACACATCAAAAGTAAACATAACATTGCAATAGTTGCCAAAAATAAAAGAGAGAAAAATGCAATTAATAAGCAGACGATATTTAGAAAAGTACAAATATTTAGACTGGAAAATGAAATTATCTGAAATTAACCACACGCGCAGACGATATTTAGAAAAGTAAAGATATTCAAACCTGAAAAGAAAAATATATGAGTTATTCCATCAATAAATGCCATAAGTTTGTTTATATCTTCATTATTTTATGAGTTATTAAACATCAAAATGGGTCCGGGAATTTATAAACACCCTGTATATTGCTTTTTTCCTTTATACTTAAAGTGTACCAAATCTTGGGGTCAGGTCCACTCCCACGCATCTGAATGTCTCAAGGCTTAAATAGCATCCTATTTATGTAGGCTTGGCGACAAAGCCCCTAAACTTTCTACATGATTTTAGATGATTCTTGCATAATTTCGTAGTTATTGGTCCTATCGCTTTTAAACTCGAACTTTCCAGAACTATAATTTTGTTGCCAAACTGTCAATATTATCGCCAATTCGGCAAAATAATCGCCGAACTGTGCCTTCCATAAGAAATACCGTAGTCGTTGTTTTCAGTCTAAATTACATAAGAATTACGTGACTATCTTTCAAATTTTCGAATTACACTGTTTATTTAGGGTCTGTCTGAGATATCTAGCCTCATAACCAAAGAATATTCCTAAAATTATATACTCAATTACAAATTCGTAATAATACGTTTTTTCTAATTTTTAAGTTTTCATTACTTAAAAAAGTAATTAACTATATGTCAAAAATTTCGGGGTCTTCTGCATCCGGAAATCCAAACATCTTTCTTCCCTCCCTATTCGTAGGGACGGGGGGGGGTAGCTAACCCGCAGAGAAATCTGTTTAGTAAAGGTGAAACATAAGAGGGAATGGGCACAAGGTATTTAGTGACATGAATCAACGTAGCTGAATCGCGGGAGGTGGCTATTATAGGATGCTAAGCGATTTCCGTAGATGAGGAGGTGGGATCTCTCGCTATAAACTATCGATCCGTATCCGTTGCTTAGGTAACGTTGGAGGTGAGAAGGCGGGGATAAAGCTAGAGAGCAAGTGGTCACCGGATCCCTCCTTCACACACCCTGATGGAGACCCTTTCACTGTAGGGGACCCCCATTACGCCCTTGTCGCATCTGTCTTCTTGATGAGAACACGATACACATGTATCTTCAGCTGTGGGTCGATTCTCGCACATCGACCGTCTTTTGAATATTAAATGAATAAAAGGCAGTTTGTGGTAGTGTTGGCATGCTTCTTGGAGATCTTGGCTACTTTTTTTTTCCTTCTCTTTTCTGTTCCGAGGCGGAAATTGCTTGTTTCTGAGCCAGCCGTGGAATCATCTGTGTGTAGTTTAATATTTTAGCTTAATATAAAATAAAAGTTTGCTACTTATAGTGAGATGTTTTACTTTATGACCCGTACACTGGGTAATTTGAAAATATTTATGTTTTTTTTTGGACAAATATAAATCACATTTTACCTCCAAAATTAAATAATGAGTAATATTTAGGGTACAGTTTCTGCTTTTAAATTTTAAAAACTAAGTTCGGGGTTTGATGAACGTAATGGTACTGTTGGGATGTTTTAGCTCAATGAGTTTTTTTAAAAATACCTTCATGAATTGAGAATCTTATGACGAGGTAGACTTAATCAGATTTAAGTTTTCCCTCACAGACCAGTATTTAGGAATTTAAATTCGGAAAAAACTACCGGTAAAGGCTTTCACGTTTTAGCTTCTTTGGTAATGACTCTATAGAACAATCCCTTCAAGGAGGTAAGGTCGGCTTTTAGGTCAAAAAACGTGACCTGAAATAAGGTGTTCTTGTGATTTATTCAAGCTATCT